TGGGGGCTGGCCAAGTTCAGCATGAATGCACAAGAGAGGCTCAGGATGAGCTCACCCTGTCCATCCAATGCACACCTGCTGTCTGCACTGCACAGGACCCAGGGCTGGGCCTGGCCTTAAGAGTGAGATTTGGTAAGTTTTGAGAAGATTCTGCCCATGTCAGAGGCTAGAACAGAGAGAGGGTTGAGGACCAAGGCTCACACAGTTTCCTGGAGGTGCAAGAGACTGTCCTTTCAGAAGGCCTGGGGACCTCAGGTGTAGGAGGCAAAGAGCAACGACTCTCCTCTGCCACCTAGTGGTGAGACTCTTGGGCACCCACTCCCATGTATGTTCCTATTGTCCTGGATTAACCTCCTTGGCACACTGTGAAACAACCCCTGCTGATTCATGAGGTTCACAGCCACAAAACCCACCCAGGGTCCCCTGCAGGGACTCTCTGCTGACAGGAGGACCAAGAGCTATGCCATGGCTGCATAGCCTTAGGAGAGCTGCTGCGGGATCTGTCTGTTCTTCGGAAAAAGACAGCGATGGATCCCTGAAGGTGAGCCTTCTCAGAGGCCAGGGCTCCCCTACATCCTCGATATAGCCTTCTGTATTGACTGCCAGCCTCAAAAACTAGGCACCTGTTATAAACTGTGCTTTAGCTTCCTGAAAATTGGCCCAAAAGAACTTGTCCAAAGGAACACAGGGAACAAAGCTGCAGGCCATCTGAATGCCACTCCACATTGCTGTTCCGGCCCGAGTGCCAGGGATGCTGCCAAAGACTCGAAATTAGAGTCCCCAGACTTCTCTCCAGGAGTGTGCCCTACAAACCCAACCCTTATTTCCTGTGATGCATGTGAAAGAATTCACAAATATCTAAATGATTATTCCAAAGCAGAAATAGAAGGGATGTCATTTATTAATCAAAATGCAATACAACCAAAATGGACAGGGATACATCAACATTGGGAGCAAAGAGGAAGTGACATGAAAACTTCACTATAAGTAGTTGTAAAAGCACAAGCAAGAACATTATCTCAAAGTCACGGAAGGTGAGCAAAGCTAGACTCCAAGTCAAACCGGAGGCCCTACTTGCTTTCATCGTTTTCAAACAACAGGCAAAATCAAGGCAGCTGACACTTATTGGAAGCTTCTGCAGGGCAGAGCCTGCAGGTTAACAGGTTCTGTATTCTCACCATAGTATTTGTGTGGGCTTTGTGTGGTGGGGACCCTCTGCTGTGCTTCACTGGCTGCTGTCCCCATGAGTTGGCCTTATCTCTTTGAAATGGTCCACATGTCAAAAGTGGACCGTGCCATCAACAAATTTCTAGAGGCATATGATTTGCCCAAATTGGATCAGGTTGATCTACACAACTTAAACAGATCAATTTCAAGCGATGAAATAGAAGACGCCATCAGAAGCCTACCAAGCAAGAAAAGCCCAGGACCAGATGCATACACAGCTGAGTTATACGAGACCTTTAAAGAAGAACTAATACCGATATTCTTCAAATTATTTCATGAAATAGAAAACACGGGAGCACTTCCAAACTCATTCTATGAGGCCAATATCACCCTGATTCCAAAACCAGGCAAAGACACAAAGAAGAAAGAAAACACCAGATGAATACTTCTAATGAACATAGATGCAAAAATTCTCAATAAAATTCTGGCAAATCAGATACAAAAACATATCTAAAAGATGGTGCACCACGATCAAGTGGGGTTCATCCCAGGGATGTAAGGTTGGTTCAACATTCGGAAATCAATAAATGTAATTCATTACATCAACACACTTAAAGATAAGAATCATATGATCATCTCAATAGATGCAGAAAAAGCATTTGATAAAACACAGCACCCCCTCATGTTCAAAACACTAGAAACACCAGGGATAACAAACATATCTCAATATTGTAAAAGCTATCTATGCTAAGCCCCAGGCCAACATCATCCTAAATGGAGAAAAACTGAAAGCATTCCCTCTAAAATCTGGAACAGGACAGGGATACCCTCTCTCACCACTTCTATTTAACACAGTTGTTGAATCACTGGCCAGAGCAATTAGACGAAAGAAAATAAAGGGATACATATAGGAAAAGAAGAACTCAAACTAGCACCATTTGCCAATGATATGATTCTATACCTAGAAGACCCAAAAAATTCCACCAGAAAACTTCTAGAACTAGTAAATGAATTCAGCAAAGTAGCAGGATATAAAACCAACACCCATAAATCAAAGGCATTTCTGTATATCAGTGACAAATCCTCTAAGGAAATGAGGAAAACTACCACATTTACAATAGCCTCAAAAAAAAAAAAAAAAAAAAAAAAGACTTGGGAATCAACAAAAGAGGTAAAAGATCTCTACAACAAAAACTACAGAATGCTGAAGAAAGATATTAAAGAACACCTTAGACTGGGGATATAGCTCAGTTGCTAGAGCACCTGCCTTGCATGCACAAAGCCCTGGGTTCAGACCATAGCACCACCAAAACAACAACAACAACAACAAAAGAAGACCATAGAAGATGGAAAGATCTACCTTGCTGTTGGATAGACAGAATTAAATTTGGGAAAATGACCATAATACCAAACGCACTATAAACATTTAATGTAATTCCAATCAAAGTCCAAATGACATTCCTCACAGAAACAGGAAAAGCAGTCAAAAATTCATCTGGAAAAATAAGAGACCCAGAATAGCTAAAGCTATCCCGAGCAAGAAGAGTAAAGCAGGTGGCATCACTATACCAGATCTTGAACTATCTACTACAGTGCAATAGTAATAAAAACAGCATGGTATTGGCAAGAAAATAGACTGGTAGACCAATGGTACAGAATATAGGACACAGAGACTAAACCACATAATTACAGTTACCTTATAGCAGACAAAGGCACCAAAAACGTACATTGGAGAAAAGGCAGCCTCTTCAACAAACGGTGCCCGGAAAACTGGAAATCCCTATGCAACAAAATGAAATTAAACTGCTATCTCTCACCATGCAGAAAACTCAACTCAAAGTGGATCAAGGACCTAGGAATTCAACCAGAGACACTGCGCCTGTTAGAAGAAAAAGTAGGCCAAGTCTCCATCATGTCGGATTAGGCCCCAAATTCCTTATAGAGCAAGAATTAAAATCAAGAATCAATAAATGGGATGGGTTCAAACTAAACGGCTTCTTCTCAGCAAAAGAAACAATCAGTGAGGTGAATAGAGAGCCTACAGTTTGGGAACATTTTTTTTTTTTTCCTACATGTACATCCGATAGAGCACGAATCTCTATCAACAAATGGGCCAAAGAACTGAACAGACACTTCTCAGAAGACACACAATCAGTCAACAGATATATGAAAAAATGTTCAACATCCCTAGCAATTAGAGAAATGCAAACCAAAACTACTCTAAGATTTCACCTCACTCCAGTCAGAATGGCAGCTATTAGGCATAGAAACAACAATAAGTGTTGGCGAGGATGCAGGGGACAAGGCACACTCATACATTGGTGGTGGGACTGCAAAATTGGTGCAACCAATATGGAAAGCAGTATGGAGACTCCTTGGAAAACTGGGAATGGAAACACCATTGGACCCAGCTGTCCCACTCCTCAGTCTATACCCAAAGTACTTAAAAGCAGCATAGTACAGGGACACAGCCACATCAATGTTTATTGCAGCACAGTTCTCAATAGCTAAACTGTGGAACCAACCTAGATGCCCTTCAGTAGATGAATGGATAAAGAAAATGTGGTATAGAAGCTGGGGTTGTGGCTCAGTAGTAGAGTGTTGGCCTAGCACGTGCAAGGCCCTGGGTTGGATCCTCAGCACCACATAAAAATAAATAAATAAAGAAAGAAAGAAAGGCATTGTGTCCAACTACAAGTAAAAAAATAAAAAGAAAAAAGAAAAAGTGGTCTATATACACAATAGGGTGTTATTCAGCATTAAAAGAGAATAAAAGCAATTTGCAGGTAAACGGATGGAGTTGGAGAATATGATGCTAGGGGAAATTATCCAATCCCCAAAACCCAAATGCTGAACGTTTTCTCTGATTTAAGGAGGCTGATTCATAATGCAGATGGGGCACATGGGAGGATTGGATGAGCTGTAGATAGGGGAAAGGGAGGGAGGAGGAGGGAGGGGGCATGGGGGTACGAAATGAGATGGACATCATCACCCTAAGTACGTGTATGAAGACACAGATGGTGTGACTTGACTTTGTGTACAACCAGAGATATGAAAAATTGCTCTATGTGTGTAATATGAATTGTAATGCATTCTGCTTGCTCTCATATATAACAAATTAAAATTTCTTTTAAAAAAGGGGGGAAAGAAGTGGACCATGCGAAAGACCCAAAGGACACAGAAACAGCGCCAGGGCTGCACAAAAGCAGTGCTCCTGGCCTGGCCTCTTGCAGGAGTGGAGAAGAGTGCTTGCCCCCATGTTTTAAATATATGTTATATTTTTAGTTGTAGATGGACACAGTATCGTTATTTGTTAATTTTAATGTGGTGCTGAGAATGGAACCCAGTGCCTCACATGTGCTAGCTAGGCAAGCGCTCTACCACTGAGCCAGGACCCCAGCCCCCTGCCCACATGTTTGAGAACAGCATCTCCAGGAGGTTCAGACCTTGAACTGCAAGGTCCAAACCGAAAGAGGGCGAGCCTGTGCACTTCCTCCACGGGTCAGACCTTCACGCTTGAAAATACTGCATACCTGCAGAAGGATGGGTCACATCCGCCTTGAGGGTAGGGGCCCCAGGTCCCACAGGAATGCCAGCCTTTCCAGGCCTCTTACTTATGCAAAATTGCGGCGACTTGGGACAAGAACCCAGAGATTAAACACGATGTTATGCACCTCGCCAGGCAGCAAATGGCAAGAGCAGGAGAACACTCTAGAATGTGCACGCCTTGGGAAGGTGCGTTCACACTGGAGCTGAACGCAAAGCTGTTCTGGGAAAGGAGGTCAAACCTAAGCATTGTCCCGCCACAGCCGACCGACCGCAGGCACAGCCCCTTAGGGGTTACAACTGTCACATGGCTCGGGACCCATTTCCTGCACCGGGTTCCCGGGGAACTCTTCTCTGAAGTGCGCGGCCTGGTGCGCGATGAGGCCTGCTTTCTTTATGAAGCTCTTGGAGCAGTGGCTGCAGGTGTAGGGCTTCTCCCCGGTGTGGATTCTCAGGTGGATCATGAGGCTGGATCGCTGCCTGTAGCTTTTCTCACAGTGTTGGCAGGAGAACGGCCTCTCCTGGGTGTGAGTCCTCTGGTGCAGAGTAAGAGCTGTCCGCCGGTTGAAGCGCTTCCCACAGCTGTGGCACTCGTGACGTTTCTCCTGCGTGTGAGTGTTCAGGTGTCCCATCAGGTTGGCCCTGCTGGCAAACCTTTTGCCGCACTTGTGGCACTGGGAGGTGTCTTTGCCACAGTGCCCCCTCTGGTGCATGGTGAGGTGCGCGCCCTGAGTGAAGCGCTTGTGGCACAGGGAGCACTCGTAGGGCCTCTCCCCGGTGTGGATGCGCACGTGCCGGTCCAGGTCTGAGCGGTGCAGGAAGCCTTTTCCGCAGCCGGGGCACTGGTAACCCAGCTCCCCCGTGTGGATTTTCAGGTGAGCAGAGAGGCGCTTCTTGCAAGCGAAGCACTGTCCGCACTGGCCGCAGCGATGGGGTTTCTCTCGCGGCTTCCTCGGCTTGTGGGCTGCCAGGGGCAGGGGCTTTCCCGCCTCACAGGGCCTCGGAAGGTGCAGGCGCTTCCCGGAGGAGCTCAGCAGCTCCACTGCGGGGCCAGCCCTCAGAGGTTCCTGCTTCTGACAGCCCACGCATGGACGAGCACGAAGTGCTTTCGCGTCTAAACAAACGAGACATGGACGTTGCACCCCAGGTTTCTCTGCTCTGGCGCACTTCCTTTGCCTCCCGTCCCAAGAAATGGCAGGTGCAGGAGTCCCCGTGTTCCAGGGAAAACAGGGACACGGAGCCAAAGAAGAGCTCTACTCCCAGCCTCCAGGAAAGGTGGGAACCCCCAGGCACCCTCCCCACCCCCTCCCCCGGAGGAAGGCTGCAGGTTTCTCTTCTTTGTTCCCGGGCGCTGGGGCGCTGGCGCGCTGGCTGAGCCCTAGCCTACCTCTCCTGGACTCAGGTGATTGCTCCATGCGCTGGGCGCCCAGCAGCTCCACCATCCCTGGCTTTCTCCTGCGGTCCAGCCGGCAGCTCCAGCGACACTCTGGGGTGGCATGTCCTGGCCACAGGGAAGATTGGGGAGGAAGGAGAGTGTGAATCACCCCAGGTTTTCCTCTGCCTTGGACAGGCGCCCTCTCCACATCTGCTTCCTCCTCAGTCAGGCTTCCTTTGCCCAGAGCCTCTGCCACACAGTGTTGGTGTGTGTGTTTTAATTCCAAGAAAACAAAAGCAAGTGAGGGGACAAGCCCAATGTGCCTACTTGGAGGCCTTCTCCTCTGATGGGTGGAAGGGTCAGGGCTCCATCCAGGGTAAAGTCACTGAACTGAAAGAGCTTCACGGGAACTTTGGGACTGAGAGTATTTAGCTGAGGGGCAAAATGCAAAGTAAATCTTCCTGTTGTGTGTTGGCATATGGAAGCTGAGGGATGTCCTCTTACTACTGCAAGGGGCAGAGAGAGGCAGGGGCAGGGGCCAACACAAGCTGGAAAACCGCTTACTAGTCTCACTTCTGTAACAATGAAAATGACAACTGAATTGGATTGGAAACCAGCCAGGAGCACCTCTGTATGTGTGTCTCAGCTGAAGCCTAGAAGCGGATTCCTCTTCCAATACCCCAAGAAAATACAAACAGTGTCCATCTAGAACAACCAGGTAACCTCTCTACCACTCGACGTTCCCGTGCCCAACCGTCCCTGCCCTCACTGACAATCTCTGTGGCTGACTACCTCTCTTTCCTCATCTCTGGCCACATTGCTACTGCAACATGAATTGTCGGTAGAAATGTTAAAGTGGGATCCGAACAGAGGCTGGTATTGAAATTCGAGCATCACTGAACCACAGTGGCAAGGTAGCTAGCTGCACCAGGCTAACCCCAAGAGAAATCTAAGCTTCAGAACATCATATCAAGACACAGGATACACACACACACACACACACACACACACACACACGTGCGCGCGCGCGCACCTGAAGTTGAGTTTTTCTTGAGAGACGACTCCAGATTCCGAAAAATGACATGCATTTCAAATAAAAATCTGCTTGAATTCACAGTTTCGGTTATGCTCACATGGGATCAGAGGATAAGGAGGATAAGGAGGCACAGCTCAAATAACGCCAGAGGGCAGAGGTCAAAGGGAAGCTGCCATCAAGTGAACTGGGAGGAAACTGCAACATGGGAGTGGGAGGAAGCGGGAAGGCAGTGGAAGAAACATGGGGGCTGGGAATATCCCCAATGGGTGAGAAGCCAAACAGTATGCGAAGGCAGGAAATGCACCTAGGTCTGCTTCCACACCATTCCCCTAGGACCTGAACCTGTCAAAGTCTGCAGAGTTCATCAAATGTCCCTTTGAAACCAGGCCACACACCAGTCCCTTGGTTGGAATGGAAGCTAAAGACCTAGTCAGGGACCGAGAGCAGCCCTCTAGCAGCATCTAGTAGCCACGAGTTGTGCCACAGGGCAGCCCTGCGTCCCGGGCTTTCCCCTTGGCTCTCATATCCCACTGCTGCTTCCTGTAAGCACCACATACAGAGCAAAGGGAACTGCGGCCCCAGCACCACGCTCTTGGTGCCAGCTTTCAGAGAGGTTGGCTCAAACTGGAGCCTCTTCCTGGGTATTAACCCAATGCATTTTCGGAGTGAGCACCAATTCAGCCCTTCCTGCCAGTCATGATGGTCCTGAGCAGCGCTGGGATCCAGGGGCCTCCATTCCCTGGCCTATGGAAGCCCTACTCCTGTCACTCTCAGTGGTTTGCATTTCCCGACCTTCCGCTCCTAGTACATGGCACCTAAACCCATTCCGCGCCCCCATCTAACCTGGGTCCACATCTGCCACTCTTTTTAGACACTGTTTTTTTTTTTTTTTATTGGGGGGATTTATGTATCTATCTATCTATTTATTTATTTATTGGTATCAGGGATTGAACCCAGGGGAGCTTAACCATTGAACTACATCCCCGGCCCTTTTTTGAAAAAAAAAAAAATTCTTTAGATACAGGGTCTCACTAAGTTGTTTAGGGCCTCACTAGGTTACTGAGGTTGGCTTTGAGCCTGTGATCCTCCTGCCTCAGCTTCCTGAGCCTTCGGGATTACAGCGGCGTGCCACTGTGTCTGGCCGCCACTCTTGTTACGTGGAATAAATTACCAACAATAATACTGAATGAACCTGACACTCATCCACCAGATTTTCACAGATCTTGGCACCATTTCTGTGTGCCAAGATGGTGAGGACAGCCGTGGCTCCTGTTACAGGCCAAGAGGAGACCCAATGTAGGTTAACAGAAGGAAACTGACACTCACACAAGCTTCAGCAGGAGGGTGCCGGCACACAATTGTTTGTGAGGACATTTGACCATGTCTATTTATATCTTAAAAGGTCTCCATCCACTGAACAAATGACCCTTTTTTGAGAAATGTCTCCTGTGGACACATGGCCCAAGAAGGATGCTCATTGTGGTTTACGGCGTAGCTCCAGGGTGCTGCTGTCAACATCCAGTGCTACTGACAAGCAAAAGGCGAGTCCCTGGGCCATCTTCTGCTGCAGGGTGGGTGGCTCTTGGCTTGAGCCCTGAGGCCAGCCACTCTGGGTTGTGAAGGAAACTACCTGAGCAGTAGTCATACAACGAACATGACCTGCCCTTTTTGCCCTGGTCCCTCTGTCTCAAACCCTGGTGTCCCTTCTTAGCTCCCATTCCACACTGGCCATTTCCACCTGGAAACCCAGGACTGCCCCAAGTTCCACATGTTCAAAGGTCAACTCATCTAGACCTACAAAACCTGATCCTGCCCAGTGTTGTCTGTGTCGGTGATTAATACTGTCGTCTAACCAGTTCACTGGCCAGCAACCAGGATGCCACCTTTTAACCTTTCGTGTCAATCACGTGACACCCCATCAATCCATGAGTCCTCTATTTCAAAACTGCTCATTATCTTTTGAGTCACCCCTTTTCAATCTATCCTCAATGAAACAGCACCCCTACTCCTGCCCACCCCTCAGAGTGTAGCAGCAGGTCTTCTCTCTGCCCTGGGGCCTCTGTACTTGCAGCCCTTCTGCCAAGGCTCCCTCTCCTCACTCCCAACACTCAATGGCTGACTCCAATCCATCCTAGAGCTACTACCCCAGATCCCCCTCCTCCAGAGGTCTTCCCTCTCAGCCTAATGATGGCAAGGGCCCCTGCTGTGTGCTCTGCCAGCATCCTAAGCCCTCCAACACACGTTCCCATCACATATCCAACAAATCTGGACTGTCCACCAGAAGTGGGTGCCGGGACAGCTGGGGCTGCTTTCCTGCCTCGTGGACTGTCTAGTCACAGGGTCCAGCAAGATGCCTGGCTCTTCACGGTGCTCAGAACGTTGACTGTGGGAATAAGTGTGGAGAAGTGGAAGGGGACACAGTTGCTAAGCCCTGGCCGTGTGCTAGTGATGGGGGCATCCCACATTTCTGTTTTGCAACATGGACCGTTCTCCACCTATTTTCATCTGCAGGGCTCTTTGGTGCTCTCAGGACTACACAGTGTCTTGGTGTGCCAACATGGTGACGCTGAGCTGCTGGGGAAAGGGAGAGGACTCCCACCACACTTGGGCCCAAGCTTCAGTGGGGGAGGGGAGGGCTGGGACAGGGCGTGGGTAGCGATGTAAGGAAATGGCAAAGGGAAGGGAAACAGGAACACCCAGGCATCCAGTCCCGCTGCCTTTCTCCACCTGGCCTTTTCTCCTGCTAGCACGCACCCATTTGTGTCCAGGGCCGTGGTTCTCAAAGGGTGGTGTGTGCAGCACTTTGCTCAGAGACCTTGTTAAACCTGTACCTCAGGTGGTGCTGGGGCTGAGTGACTGCTTACTCATGAGAAGGGTGGTTACTTTCACCTGTTCCCCATGCCGCTGTACCCAAAATGCATTTTCCCCTGCTGTTCCCAGAGAGACATCTCCTCTTCCTCCCGCTCCTTTCCATCCAAGAGGTCCATTTCCACTGGGGAATCCATGTTTCCCAGCAACCCCAACCTTTGAGAGCTCTTGTGCGCTCGGTCAGACACAAAAGAGCAGAAAGAAAACCCCGCCTTACCAGGATCCAGAAAGGGCTGGCATTCCCCAGCAGCACCATAGTTCAGCTCCGGAGGCCCTGCCTGTGGGATCCAGGCCCCTGTCACGGGAGCCTCCTGGACAGGTCCCAGTCCCTGGAGTGCAGATGTCTCCAGGTGCATGTTTGGAGACATGGGTACAGTTCCTGAAGGCGCCTGTTCTTCAAAGAGCAAGTCATGCACGTCAACCTGGGGGAAATGCCAGAGTCCATTGCTCAAGAGTCTAGACCCATTGGGAGAAAATCCACCTTGCCCTCACACCAAAGGAAACCTTGCTGCCTTAGCAGTCAAAATAGAGCCACGTGTGTAGTTTAACATTTTCCAGTATTCGCAGGACACAGTGTAAAAAAGGAACCGGGGAGTCCCCAATCTTAATAGCATGTTGTATTTAACGCGACATATGGAAACCATCAGGATTGCAGCATGTAATCAATCCAAACAATTACCAAGTACTACCTCCTCTTCCCCTCACAGCTTCTGCATGGGCTATGCAGTTTACACCCACAGCAGGTCTTAACCAGCACTGGCCACATTTCAAGTGCTCAAAAGCCACACGTGGCCCGTGGCTCTTGTGCTGGGCAGGAGCACTTCAAGTGCCAGTCTAGAGCACTTGAAGACGAAATCTTGTGTGGTAAACAAAACTAATAAGACAGGAGGGAAGGGAAACCACTAACGCATTCCACTCCGGGGAGGCAGGATCCTTTAGAAGCCTCCTGGTCAGGCCTCTCTGTGCCCTGAAGCCAACAGCTCCTGCAGAGCCCTGCCCGACAGGACACCCAGCACTCCAACACCCTGCTAGAAGCACATGCTCCCCTCTCCCGGACACACCGCCCTCCCCTCAGCCCTGCGTTCCCCAAACACAGGCATCCTGTGGTAGGTACTTCTGAACCCAGGGCAGTTCCAATGCCCCTGTGGAGCCTCCAACATATGCTGGCTGGTGCCGGCTACGGGGATTTGGTGGACCAGAGATGGGAGCATTGCTCACCAACCAGAGTTGTTCCGGGTCCCTACCAACTGTGCAGTTCCCCCCTCAGGCATTCATGTAGTTAAAGTACCTCATCGTGGTGACCAGATACCGAGAGACTAATTTTGCATATTTTAGCATGACTTGGATTTCCTAGGAATGCACTGTGCAAATCAAAGGATGGTTACTCTACTTGTTCTGATTTACTAAGACAGTTTTTCAGTTGGGGAGATCATGCGGCAAGTAGCAACAGCGCATAGTGCTTGAGTCTTACTCAACGTCTGACTGTCCCATCCCAGTGACTCTAAGCAGAGATGTAGGCATCTGACAACTTCATGATGTCTTCCAGTGAAGTCCAGCCCCAGCATGTTTATGCAGAAATGCACATTCGTTAAGAACCAACTATGTTCATTCTCCTTTACATCCTCTCCAGACTCGACTTGACCCACAGTTGACAAACTTTCTCTGAAGAGCCAAAATAGTACATATTTTAGAGTGTGGGCTACATTTACCCTGTCATTTCTTTTCTGTCTTCCTCCTCACTTAAATTTACTTGTTGAGATCTTATATGATTGGTAGGTACTAGGGTTGGAAGCCAGGGAGGTTTTAGCACTTAGCTGCACCTCCGGCCTTTTATGTTTTATCGGAGACAGGTTCTCAGTAAGTTGTGGAGCCTGGCCTCAAGCTCGCCATCTTCCTGCCTCAGCCTCCCAAGCGGATGGGATGACAGGCCTGTGACACCCCTCCGGCTCCTCTTTTGGGGAACCGATTCACGAAGACGGTAAAAATCACCAGGGGCTCGCAGGGCACATACAAACAGACTGTGGCCAGATGAGGCCTGCAGGCCATAGAGCAAATTATTGAAGCTCATGGTTGATGCACGTGGGTAGATGATGTCATTTGTGAATTTCACTTGCGGATAATTGAGGAGACATTACAGAATATGTGTTGTGGATGCGAGACAGGGTCTGATAGGGTTCGGAATCATGGACTGAGAGGCTGATTCCAGGGGAAGGGAAAATGAAAAGGGATCTGGAGAACCACTGGGGCTGTGGACTGACACACAGACAAAATGAGTGTTCCAGGCCCTGCTGCCGTAGCTCCTCTTTTGCACTAATAGCCGAAACCCCAAACTCTTTTCTCACCTGCAGCTCTGGTATGTGACGCTGTCTCTGCCAGTCTTCTATCAGGGCCAAAAGCCTTTCTTTACTCTCCGGGCCATATGCGCTCACCCAGGTCTCCATCTCCGTGGGCAGTATAGTTAGGAATTGCTCCAACACCAGCAGCTCCAGGATTTGCTCCATAGACCGCATCTTTGGCTTCAGCCACCCACAGCAAAGCTCCCAGAGCCTGCTGAAAACTTCCCGAGGCCCCACCGCCTGCGTGTACTGGAACTGCCTGAAATGCTGGCGGAACACTTCACAGTCCTTGCTGAAGTCCTGCAGCATAGGGTCCCGCATGCACAGCCAGGTGGCCTCGGTGGCAGTGCCTGGGCCAAGAGCCATCGCCCCCTCTGGGAGTTTAGTTTATCTGGAGCCTGAGGTCTCAGGTTCGATGGTCCTCCTGGAGCTGAGGGTGAAAAAACATGAGAAAGAAGACACGGCCGTGAAGACAAAAAGGCATTAGAAACTGCCCTCAAGTTTGAGAACCTGCTGCAAGCTTCGAACTCACTTCCCAGGAAAATGCACGTATGCATCCAACTCTGCATTCAGGTCCCCCAACAGCAGGAATAAATACCACGTCTCTCTGAGGCTTAGAGGGAAAAATGCTGAGACTTGAGGAGCTGTCTGCCCTAGCCGAACTATGGACTGCTTGATCACTAATCAGATATTAAAAAAAAAAAAAAAAAAATCTCTCCACCAGATTTTATCAATCATCCGTGATCCTGGAGCCATCTCTGGACTGCAGCATGGCTGAGCCTAAGGAAACTGAAAGCCAGATCCCTGAGTTTGCAGCTAGTGAGCCCAGCAATCCTGTGGAAAGTCGGAAACTGGGAGCATTCCGCCTGGGGGAACACAGGTTAGAGAGCCCTGAGAAAGGTGGGCTCTCCCCAGCTCGGCAACTCCTGAAGCGTGCGGGGACTCATGGGGCTGCCGACTGCAGGTTGGAAGGTTAGAAGAGGGTGTGAGGGCATCTTGCTCTCAGCTCGCACAGCCAGCTAGTCCGCCGCCCACTGGGTTCCTGGTACCCACTCGGGCCAGCACTCACCAGATCCTCGCACTAGCCTGGACCCTGATTCCATCCCCAGTCTGGCACCCACAAATCCCCTGATCCTGCCAGGTCTGGCCTCAGTCCAGCACCCAATAGGGTTCTCCAGCTCACCAATCCCGAGTCTCCCATCCCCTCCCTAGCTCCCAGCCCAGCCCATTGCTTGCAGCTACTTGGCTGGCCCACCAATCTCAGCACCTGGTCTTGATCTGCCCCACAGGGAACAGCTCTCCACCACCAGTGCATAGGCCCTGGTGCCCAGCCCTCAGAACCACCTGGGAGAGAAGTGCCTGACCAGGAATTCAAAACGGTGGGGGCGGGAGAGATCGACTGAGAGACTAAATCAGAGACCAGCAACGATAGGGTCTGTAGGCTATGTAAGGGGCCAAGATCAGGCAGCTACATCACACGAGCGGAAACCAAAGGAGATTCCTGGGGTGCAGTCTTCCAACGTGGACCGACAAGTGTCTTCATATATTTTGTCCTCACCATCCTTAGGGTGGAGCTACCATCAAACTCCAGACAACCCCACCTATAGGCTGAGAAGGGAAGCTGAGAAACTTTTGAGCTCCAACGGCAACAATTGCTCTATTTTCCAACAAGATCCTTTCTCTCTTCCTCTCCCTCTCCCTTCCCCTCTCCCTCTGCCTCTCTCTCTCTCACATCTCTACCATTTTTGAAACCAAGTATTTTCATGCATCAGTTTATTGAGGGCTTGAATGTCTGCATAGTATATTACAGTTTTGTTATGTATTCTTTTATTTTTACTTTTTTCATTTCATAATTTCTTTAAATTTTACATACATTTTCCCTTACTTGTCTATTTCCTTGGATTCTCTTTCTCTCTTTTCTCCTGCTAACAGCCAACCTCTATTAATTCCTCTTTCACTCTTCCTGTATTTTGGATGTCTATTTTCTCTCCTCCTTCCCCATGAACATCACTTCCTACACCACCTCTCTTCGTCCAACATCTGAAACTGTAAACCCTTTTGCAAATTAAGTGTTCATATTGTAGACAGTATTGAACACACCAATTGTGTTTATTGCGGCCAAACTGTGGATGTCTTAATAGGAGTTATTGGGTGTGAGGCTGTATATTGTTTGCATTGGGTACTATTAATATTGGTCTCTCCCTTAAAGGTGAGGTACTGGAAACCTTCAGGGACACTGTAAATCTACAGGGTAGAAACTGTACAGCCTCAGATCCCCACTGCTAGATGGGAAGACGCAGAAACAACATGAAAATTGAGGGAACAAAGTGCCCCAAACAAACCAAGATGCTCCGATAATGGAATCCATTGACAACACAGTAGAAGAAATGCAAGAGATGGAGTTTAGAATGTACATAATTAAACTGATCTGCCAGAACCACCTGAGAGAGAAGTGACTGACTGGGAATTCAAAAGGGCAGGGCCGGACAGATCCATGGCGGGGGGCTAAATCAGAGACCAGGAAGGATGGGGTCCGCAGGTGATGTAAGGGGCCAAGATCAGGCTCCTACACCACACAAGTGGAAACATAAAGGACAACGCAAAGAGAGAAATCAGAGATAAATTTCAGGAGGTGAAGTTCAACAAAGAGATGGACATTCTGAAAAGAAACTGAGCAGAAATCTTCAAAATGAAGGTATCAGTAAACCGAATTAAAAGTTCATCGGAAAGTATCACCAACAGACCAGACAACCTGGAAGACAGAACCTCAGGCAATGAAGACAAAAATATAATAATCTTTTTTTTAAGAGAGAGAGAGAGAGAGAGAGAGAGAGAGAGAGAGAGAGAGAGAGAGAGAGAGGGAGAGGGAGAGAAAATTTTTTTAATATTTATTTTTTAGTTTTTTGGCGGACACAACATCTTTGTTTGTATGTGGTGCTGAGGATCGAACCTGGGCCGCACACATGCCAGGCGAGCATGCTACTGCTTGAGCCACATCCCCAGCCCCAAAATACATAATCTTGAAAACAATGTTGACCACACAGAGAAGACTGTAAGAAACCATGAACAGAACTTCCCTTAATTATGGGATAACATGAAAAGACCAACTCTAAGCTTTATCGGGAGAGATGAAGGCACAGAGATACTAACCAAAGGAATGCACAATCTTTTTAATGAAATAATATCAGAAAATTACCAAACTTGAAGAATGAAATGGAAAATCAAATACAAGAGGCTTATAGGACCCCAAAGGTACAAGATCACAGCAGACTCACACCATGGCACATGATAATGAAAATGCCTAACACAGAGAAGAAGGATAGAATTCTAAGGGCCACAAGAGAAAAATATCAGATGGGAGAAAGCAATTTGGATCTCAGCTGAGTTCTCAACCCAGACCCTCAAAGGTCAAAGGTCCTGGAATAACATATACCAAGCTCTGAAAGAAAATGGATGCCAACCAAGAAACGTGTATCCAGCAAAATTAAGCTTCAGATTTGAAGATGAAATACAAACCTTCCATGAGGGGGCTGGGGTTATGGCTCAGCAGTAGAGCACTCGCCTAGCATATGCGAGGCCCTGGGTTTGAACCTCAGCACCACATAAAAATAAAGAAAGAAAATAAAGGTATTTTGTCCAACTACAACTGAAAAATGGATATTTTTGAAAAAATATTTAATAAACAACATTGTTTTCAAGATTATGTATTTGGTCTTCATTGCCTGAGGTTCTGTCTTCCAGGTTGTTTAGTCTGTCGGTGATACTTTCCTATGAATTTTTAATTTGGTTTACTGATTCCCCTCATTTTGAGGATTTCTGCTTGGTTTCTTTTCAGAATCTCTATCTCTTTCTTGAAGTGATCTTCAACAGAATTCACAACTAGAAAGACTGCACTACGGAACATACCCCACAAAATATTCTATGAGGATGAAATGGAAAAAGGAAAAAGTGAAAACCAGCAAAGGGAGGAACTACACTAAAGGAACAGTCAACCAAAGGAGAGACTAAGTCAAATTAAAAACCAAAAATAAACCAAAATGACTGTCATATTTCAAAATACAAGTCATATTTCAATAATAACCTTGAATGTGAATGGCCTAAACTGATCAATCAAAAGATGTAGACTGGCAGATTCGATTACAAAAACAAGACCCAACCATATGCTGTCTTACAGGCAAACACAGCCACAGGCTGAAGGTGAAAGGATGGGGGGAAAAAAAAAAAAAAAACGTTGCTCACATGGATCACGTAATCAGGCAGGGGTTTCCATCCTCGTATCAGATAAAGTGGACTTCAAGCCAAAGTTAATCAGAAGAAACAAAGAAGGACACTTCATACTGCTTAAGGGAAACATTCACCAACAAGACATAACAATTGTAAATATTTATGCCCTACACAATGGAGCCTCTGAAGAGCATCAAACAAACCCTTCTCAATTTCAAGAAGCAAACAGACCACAACACAATAATACTGGGTGACTTTAACATTCCTCTGTCACCACTGGATAGATCCTCCAAACAAAAACTAAATAAAGAAGCTATGGAAGTAAAAAATGCAATTTAGACTTAACATAGAATATTTCATCCATCAATGAGCAAACACACATTCTTCTTAGCAGCACATGGATCCTTTTCTAAAATAGACCATATCTTGTGCCACAAAGCAACTCTTAACAAATCAAAAACAAAACATAGGGATAACGTCTTGCATTCTATCAGATCATAATGGAATGATATTAGAAATCAATGATAAAATAAAAAAAAAAAATAGAAGCTACTCCAACACCTGGAGACTAAATAATATGCTACTGAATGAGGAATGGATAGCAGAAGGAATCAGGGATGAGATAAAATAATACGTAGAGGTAAATGAGAACACTGATACAACATATCAAAATCTCTGGGACACTACGAAGGCAGTGCTAAGAGGAAAGTGCAACGCATTGAGATCATTCATTAAAAGAATAGAGAGCTAACAAATAAATGTCCTAATAATGCTACACCTCAAAGCCCTAGAAAAAGAAGAACAAATCAACACCAAAAGCAGTAGAAGACCGGGAATAATTAAAATCAGAGCCGGAATCAATGAAACTGAAACAAAAGAAACAATTCAAAAAATTGACAAAACAAAAAGTGGGTTCTTTGAAAAAAATAAATAAAATTGATAAACCCTTAGCTACGCTAATGAAGAGAAAGAGAGAGAAAACTCAAAATACTAAAATTCGTGATGAAAAAGGAAATATCACGACGGACACTACTGATATACAGAAGATAATCAGAAACTATTTTGGAAATTTATACTCCAATGAA